TATTTTTGGCTAAAAACCCTTAAATAATCCCTTTTAATTTTTTATTGGGGATTATTCAAGGTGTTTTTGCTTAGAAAACTCCTTGAATAATCCTATATAAAAATTAAGTAGGGTTATTCAAGGTGTTTTTAGCTAAAAACGCTTTAATAATCCCTTTCAATTTTTATGAAGGGATTATTCAAACTGTTTTTGGAACAAACGCATTGAATAATCCCCTCCAATTTTTATAAAAGATTATTCAAGATATTTTTTTGCCAAAAACGCTTTAAATAATCCCTAAAAAAAGGGAAGGGATTATTCAATGTGTGTTTTGGCTAGAAATGCCATTAGTAATCCTATTCAATTTTTGTAAAGATTATTCAATGCATTTTTTTGCCAAAAATACTTTAAATAATCTCCTTCAATTAAAAATTAGATTATTTAAGTTACCATCATATATATCATAGAGATTATAGTAATCATACAAGATTTAATATATGTAGATTTTCTCCAACCAAATGAGTGAATCTGAACACAAGAAACCCTGAAAATGAAAGAAAATCTCGATATCGCATTTTTCTAGGGATCACACTTTTCATTGGAATCTACGATTTCGTGAACCAAACACTTTCTTAGGCTATTATAATAAAATATTTAATAACAAAAAATATTAATTTTAAATTTGATAAAAAAATAATTATTTTTTATTTTAATATTTAATTAGATATAAAATTATGATATATAAAACAAAATATATTATATGTATATTTAATAAAATATATATAATTATTTTTTTATATCCATCCATCCATATAATAATTTTGTAGTTCTTCTTTATTTTTTTTAAAAATAATGATTTAATAACAATTATTGTTACTTGTTAAAGCAAAAGAATAATTAATAAACTAATAAAGAAAAATAAAATTTACATTTATAACTTTAATGCTCATTGGTGTCAAACATAATTATAAATAATTATCATATGTATGTATGAATAAAATAAAATTATAAATATAATATTTTTACATTTATTGATCTACATTTAATGTCAATTAATTATACATATATTTTTGTTGAAATTTACATCATTATATGTTGGATGGTGAAGACAATTTTAATTTTTTTTTTTATCAATTTTGCATAACATAATTTTATTTCATTTATTATTTTATATTATGATGTTAACTTATAAATATTTATTTTTAACTATCCAATTTTGTAATTTTTACATTTGATGAAAAATTTTGGTTGAGGGAAGAAGTGCCAGGTACGAAGAAAGGCTATGACATTTTTTTTTCTCTTTCTACCTCCTTTACTTTCTTATCACTTTTTTTTTTTCATTTTTAAAATATATCCACAATCAAATTTTTTCTATTTCTCTCTTATAATTGTTTTAACAACTTAAAATCTATTTATATAATAAACATAACCTATCTGCTTCTGCGTCTCCAATTCTCCATGCTCTCTCCAACCTCAACTTTGGAATAGAAAAAAAAAAACAATAAATTTTTATACTCCATCTAATAAATGGATTTTTAAATTAGGGATCAGGTCAATTTTTTTATAAAAAAAAATTGACATTGTATTGGAGATAGATTTAGAATGTTTCATCTCGCTTCATGCATGTATAAAAATATATATTTACTTATTCATTTAATTTGATATATAAATTATATTAATAAATTTATTATTTAATATTTTAATTTAATAAATTCATATGACACCTATTTTGCCATTTGTTTGATTATTTTATTCTTTTGACTTTTTAATCAAATAAATTTTGTAAGAAAAAAAAAATCTATGGAGATATGAATAACAAAATAATTTATATCAAATAGATTTCGATTTACTTAGATTTAATAAGTGAGTTTTTTAAATCAAATCAGATCGAGTTTTTTATAAAAGAATTTTATTTTTTTTAATTTTTATTTTTTTAATTAGATTTAATTTGAGAAAAAATTTCAATGAATATGTATATGACAAAACAACCTCTATTCGATGGATTGTGATTCGTTAAATCCAATATATGTATCTTTTAAAATTCGAAATCGAGTCATGATTTTTTAAATAAGGATAGCGTCAAAGTCAGGATTAGAGTATTCTGTCTCCTCTCGAGTATATATAAAAAATATATTTTTTATTATTTATTTGAATTATAATTATATGTTTTATAAAAAATTCATTATTTAATCTTTTAATTTAATATAAATATTAAATTTATGCATAATTTATATAGAAAATAATTTTTATAAAGATCATACTCAATTAAATTATTAAAATAATTCTAGACCAGCTCAAATTGAAAATGATTTATATATATGTGTGTGGGTTTAATCGAAATTAAGTATAAAAATCCTAACTCAATATAGGAGTATATATAAAAATATACTTTATTATTTATTTAATTTTATATTTATAGATATTATATTAATAAAATTATTATTTAATATTTTATTTTAATAAAAAATTGTATTTATACACAATTAAAATTAATATATGTTAACAAATAATTTCTATAAATATTTTATAAAATTAAAATTATCGAATAAATTTTTCATTGATTTGCATCGTAAGCGGGGTTATACATTTTAAATTTTAAAAGTTATTGAGTTTATCCGCATGATAATCGATTGAATTTTTTTTTTTCATTTTTCCTTTCTTTGAAGTCAAATCAATACAAACCATTTACTCAAAAAATATTAAACATAATATCTTTTATTTTTCCCACACACTATTATCTTAAAATTCAACAATTTTTTTCGATTTATTGCTTTCTTCTTTTTACTTTCTTTGATTTTGATTTTTCCACACAGAAACTCCCTCTATCTCGTTGCCTCTCTGTATTTTTTTTCTTCCAACAACAAATCAAATCACCAAAAATTGACCATTTCTTAAGTTATCCACATATCATTTTTTTTTTTACCCAATATCTAACCCGTATCACTCACACCTAATTCATCATCTCACCTTCTCATTCACATTTGCTCAGCTTTCTCATTGTTTTTCGTTATAGTTTCTTATTCCTTTTGGTCTTTCTTCTTCCCCACATCAAAACAAAATTTCAATCTCCTTCGTACTACTTTCCATTTGTTTCTTTCTATTCTCTTCTTTATTTCCTTTCCCATTTAACCTTTTTCTTAAAAATCTTGATTATGAAAAAATCGAAGAGCAAGGTTTGTAGAGATAGCACCATTTTGTAAATTTTAATTTTAATTTATTTATTTTTTTCTCTTTTTATTCTTTAAATTCATTAACAGGACATGATAATTTTTTAGTTCCAAATTTTTTAATTTTAATTTGTCAAATTTTAGGAATTTTTGATCAGCAAATTGAAAAGATATAACCGCTCAATGATTGACAATGGAACAAAAATGACACATTTTCTTTTTTCTTTTAACCAAGTTTTTTGTTTTCTTATATTTCAATTTCATTAGTTTATTTTTTAAAATTTTTTTCTATGCTTTTATATGTAGCGTAAAAATGTTTATTATTACACTTGGATTAATTTTTTTAATGTAGAGAATTATAAGGAAAGATCACGAAAAAACAATTGATTTTGCATGGATGATAGGTGAAATTTGTTCTATCTGATATATATCTTTAATTTTCTCAATTGGTCTATCTACATAGTATACCAGTTATCATTCACTCAAAATGCAATACAATAATAAAATTTATCCTGTTTGTGTGTTAAACAGACTCCCTATAATGGATAGTTTTTATTCAATTGTAATTGATTATTTCCATTTCAAGCCATTATTACTAGCTTGAGAAAAAGAACTTTTTCATCATATAAAGCTAGATATTTTCAATGAATGTCACTTAAAGATTGAGTAATCTAACTTATTTAATTGATTTGTTGAGTGTACGATGGAGTTTACATGTATTTTTTTGCACCTTCAAGCTTGGCTTTCGTTTTTACTTTGTTAAATGCTATTTTAGTTAAAGGATGTTGGGGGTTTTGATGCTTTAGTCACGAGAAAGATAATAGATATGTAGCAAATTGATATGAATGAAAGGATAACTAGTCTTAAAAGGCTCAATCCAACACCAAGGCCAACAAAGTAAGTGCTTATGCAAAGAATGTATTTTTTTTCATGTTCATCTTTTGCATAAGACTTTTATTTGTTTATATAGCTTTCCAGGTTTTCCTTTCTAGAAGGTCGATGGCACTTTGAGTGATTTAGATCTATAAACCCAAGACTTTTGGTTGCTAGAATCATATTTGAGTGAGTTTTCTTTGATAGCTAATGATCTTTAATTTTTTGATGACTAGTAGCTGATTTTCTTAATGATCCCTTTTTACTTTCCAGAAGATTCCCTTTGACATTGGCAAAATTGTCAAAAATAGATTTGCTTCCTAAAGATGAATATGCATATGTTACAGCACATTTGAAACCGCTTAACTCAATAAATATTCCCTTAACAACTTTATATGCCCACCTACACAAGCATCAGTGTGGTCCTCTATATGTAGTGCTCCCCCTTAAACCTTATATTAATGTCCAACTATCATTTTCCTTTATTTAATCATGCATAGCACCGTATTATTAATTGCTTATATAAGTCCTCAGTTTCTAAATACAAGCAGCCTAAACATATTAATTTTTTCCTAGGAATGTATATTATTATAGAAATTTATAAAAAGTTTCAATAATTAAAATTTGAAAGAGTACTTATTACTCTTTATAAGCTATATATATAAGTGTTTATGACTCTTTATGTGTCTCATTGTAAATTGAAATATTCACAATAAACTGAGTATTGTTTTGATAATTATACATATAATTTCCTTTGTTTTGATGCTTATATCAAATCATTTTTTACTCAATAGGTACAATGTTTGAAATGGAGCTAATTTTGCTACAGAAATCATATCTACAATTCAGTCACTTGATGCCATAATGTTTAAGCAAAGGTATTAGTTAAAATATAGTAATTGAGCTGATATTAGATGTTGGCTTAAACATTAATGTTTAATGGCCATAAGTTATAATATAGTAATATTAGAAGTTAATGCTTTTTTTTTTTTGTTCTTTATAGTTTCTTACCATTCTTTATAGTTAAATAATGCCTTTTTTCAATATTTATGATAGATTTTTGTAGAGATATTGATATCATCAATTGATATTTATGAATAAAGAAAAATTTGAAACCCGAGGCAACGAGCGGGCATCTCTCTTGTAAATATAATTTGTGCTAGTAAATCACTCCTCCAGCATACTTCGTCGAGATGTAAGATCTGCAACTATCACAGGCTCAAGTAGCTCTGCATACACTATTATCAGGTCCTTTAGTTGGCTGCCAATGACAGGCAACAAATGTCATGCAATGAATATCTTCAAAAAGAAATTCTCTTCTTCAATTTCGCTCCTAAATATTGATACAAAAACTCAATCAATCCAACTGAACGTCTCCCTTGACAAACTGATATTTATGACAGTTACATTACCTTTCTTCTCATCCACAATTCAGCTAAAATAGCAGCTACTAGTTTGATTCGACAGCTTGATTGGAGAAATAATTTCAGTTCTCATGTTTCTCCTTTAAACTTATATGATGGCACAATTTTGAGTGTTTATGGCATAGAACACTAGTTGTCAAATTTCTAAGCTATCTAGTTTAGCACAGCGCGTTAAACCACCTCTGCTTGAAATGCTAAATTCATTAAACTTATAGCAATTCCATTCCTTATATGCAAGTCATCACTTGCCACTTTAAGATGGTAATTCATATATCACAGATGACTATGGAAGAGAGAGAAGGATCAGAAGCTCCACTAATAATTGCACCTTTGTTTTTTACAAGCAGCAGATAGTCCAAAGCTCTCTGCGAAATGATCTCACCTGGGATCATTACAGGTATACCTGGTGGATATGGACATATGAGCTCCCCACAAATTCTACCAAGAGCCTCTCTAATTGCCACTTTCCTTTTACTTGCAAAGAAGGCTTCTCTTGGATTAAGACTCATGGTAATATCAGTAAAGGGTGCTGAAACACAACGGTTTACTTTCTCTTTTATCTTTTGAAAAGACAAGGAAGCTTCAGATATACTCTTTATTCCAGACGCAAGCCTCTGGATATGGTCCCTACAAGTTCCAAGGTTAATCGCAAAAGTAATGGATTGAGTCCCAACAAGTTCAGAGATGACCCCATGATCCCTATATAAGATTTCATCCGCTTCAAAACCAGATAAACCAAGATGCCAGAACCCAAATGTAAGCCTCAACGGATCGATGACAGGGAAGTTAGAAAATCCTGGTGTGCCAAGCATTGAAATACCTGGAATATTTCTGATAAGGTTTTTAGTTTCATTTGCCAAATCTATTGCATTATTGAAAATAGTGTCTGGTTTTTCACTTAGCTGTGCTCTAGCTGCATCTAGAGATGCCAAAAGCAGATAACTAGGGCTAGTGCTTTGAAGAGTTTGAAGGCATCTACAGATTCTTTCTCTGTCTACAATATTCCCAGACATATGTAACATTGATGACTGTGTGAGAGAGCAGAGAACTTTGTGAGTAGATTGCACAGCCAGATCAGCTCCTTGCTGGAGGGCTGAACAGGGTAGCTTGTGATGAAATCCTAAGTGGGCTCCATGTGCCTCATCAACGATCACAGGGATTCCATAAGAATGGCATAGCTTTGAAATGTCTGTCAAGTTGCTACAGATACCATGGTAAGTAGGCGATGTGATGAAAACTGCAGCTACTTTTTGACCTTCCCTCTCCAATTCCTTGATTGCTTTCTCTACCTGTAAAAGTATCTATGTTAGGTTAAATTTGAACATACAAAAAAAAAAGCAAAGAACTTTCCTTTTCAAACATTTCAACAGGATTAACTAGAATGCCAGCTATTGCAATCACGAATATTTTGGAGACTAACCTTTGCTAAAGTAACACCAGCAGTAATATCCCAATTACAATCATACTCTGGGATAACGTATTTGGGCATGGCACCAGATAATACCATGCCAGAAATGGCTGATATATGAGAATTCCGAGGTAGAATTAAATATTCTCCTGGAGAGCAAGTTGCCAGTATTGCTGCTTGGATTCCACAGGTGGTACCTCCAACAAGAAACCATGTCTCTGACGATCCAAACAGTTTGGCTGCTTGCTTTTGTGCCTCTAAAATGGGCCCCTCTGGAGAAAATAGGTTGTCGAGTTCCGGAAGCTCAGGTAAATCATGAATGAATGGTTTCAAACCAATAAGCTGAACTAAGTCCGATGGTGCTGCTCGACCCCTGTTATGCCCTGGAAAATGAAAACTAGCAGCATTTTGGTCAGCTGAAGTTTTCAAGGCACTAACCAATGGAGGGATGCTATTTCGCTGAGCAATCTTGGAGATTGGAGTTCTGTCTCTGGTGACTAACCTGGCAGCTTCCATGGTGCTTCCTTCATCTTGCTTCTTTCGTGGCTCTATGATCCCTCTTTTCTGCAAGAATTTTAAGAATAAGCATATGCGCACTTGTCAATGTTTTGGTCGCAGAAAAACAAACTGGAATGATTGAAATCTCTGAAATTTTACTTATTTAAAACATTTAACACCTTGGTGTTTTTCACCCTTTCTGTTTTTAATCTTTTATAGTTCTTTCTTTTCAGAGTGAGGGATTGGGCACAGGGGGGAATTTTTATTCATCTCTCCTATAAGCAAACTAACAAACTGACCATCAACTTAAAATCTGCAGCTCCTAAACTTAATTGAAACCAACTTCACTGATGTTCTTTCCCTATCTCTAAAATTGATACCAATCAAACATGTCAGCACCAAATTAAGCCTTAAACAATATGTAAATTCATATAATTTCCAGCCTAAAAACTAGGCCAAATGACTGAGATACATACAACATTGAGTACAACAAGTACACAATGAGTTCCAAATATTGGAAGCATATATTTACCATAGTCTAAATTCCATCATAATAAAAGCTGTTCCAGCTGAGGTTTATTGTCCCTCAGTAAATTGTGTGTTAGAAGTCAATGGGGAAGCAAATGCTCAAAAACCTATCTGTGTCAGTAGTTCTAAGATTCCTAAATTTCTAATATCATATATAAAAGCTTAAAGCCAACGGTAATAACAGGGAAAAGTAATGGGCACTGACATTAGAAGCAAGAATTCTTGTTATTGAAGAATTGGGCGGCAGCAGCAAAGTCTGGCAAGAGCAAAAACGCAGAAAAAGTGAGGGAGCAAGTTGGAATTTGGATACATGTGATATACCAATTGAATGCAAAGGAAAGGAAAGCAAAGAGAGTTAGAAGTTCCAACGAGGAGACAGGGTCTGAGACACAAACCATTGTAAGGGAAGATCGTTATTGAGTAGCTGCTGCCTGCAATTGGTGAAGAAGCGGCTGTCTGAGGTTATCCTCCAAATAGATGTTTTTCAATTAACTACAACTTCATTTATACCTATCAAACTAGGGAGAATCATAAAAAGGAGATAAACGAACGGAAATAATTATCCCTCGGCATTATGGCCGAAAATAATTAACGAAAAGGAAAAAAACAATAAGTAAAATTGATAAAAAAATAAAATAAAATAAAATATACTATTAATTGCTCAACTATGACCGCGTATTTTAAATTGTCACTTCTTTATTTATTTTTTTAATTTAATCAGTAAAATTTGAAGAATTTTCTAAAGTTCGGCTAAGATTCTTTGAAAAAATAAGTTTAGTTTACGTTATAAAATTACATTCAAAATTACACATTAGCACCCCATCAAGTCCATCTAAAATTGGTATCAATTAATATTATATTTTTTAAAATTAATCGTAATTAAATAATTTTTATTTTAATTAAAATTTTATTATTTAAATATTAAAAAATTTCTTTAAGGTTTTTCCATCATTATAATAAAGTTCTTAAAAAATTTTCACACTTCAAAAACATTCAACAAAATTTATTTGTTTTCTTGAAAAAATCCGATATCAAATTGATTAAATATTTTAAAATAGAGGTTTATTTTAATTTTTAATAACAAAATTTTTATTTAAAAAAATTTAGGTTTTTTCTACCATTCTAATAAAATTTTTAAAATTTTTCTTATTTCGAGGGTATATAAAAAATTCATTTATTTTTTTAAAAAATTATGTCATGGAATTAAATATTTTTTAAATTTATTTTTTTATTTTTTATTTTATTGAAAATATATTTAAACTTTTCACAATTATAAAAATATTTTCTCACTTAAAATTTTTTTAAAACAATCATCCATTCTTAATTTCTTAAAATTTTATTAATTTTTTTTTACTTTTATTTTTATGATAGTTTTAAAGTTTAACTCCAAAAGTTATTTTATTATTTTTAAAACATCTCATTTTTATCTTTTTTCATTATTGTTTAAAAATAAAAGTCTGACAAAATTTAAAAATTAATTTTTTATTTAAAATTTTTTTAAAAATCACCCATTCATGATTTTATAAAATTTTATCAATGAAAAATTATGACAAATTTTATCATGAAATTTTAAAGTTAATTTATTTTTAAATCTTTATTTTTATTTAATATTAAATTTTTTATTTAAATCTTTCATCATTTTGAAATAATTTAATAAAAGTTCTCACTCGAAAGTTTTTAAAAATTTATCTATTTGTAATTTTTAAAATTTCATCATGTATTTGTTTTTATTTTACTTAATTTTTTATTACAAATTTTCTTTATTAAATATTACATAAAATAGGGTCTCCATAACCCAACAGGTTTTTGCCCAGGCGTTTGCCTTCCACCACCGGCGGTCGCTGATCGCCAGCTTCAATTTTCTGCCAACATACAGCCCCATACTCCTCTTGACTTCCCATTTCCATTTTTTAACCTTGGTTTTGCCTAACGGTTAAACGAAATTCCCAGATTTAGCCTAGAAAGCCGCGGTTTCAAACCTTGCAATACCCTTCCCGCTACCCCTCTAAAGGCCTCCAATTTTTAATATGATATTCTCTCTTTACGGCCTCCTTCCTCCTTCTTCCTCACTAAATTTGAAACACTAAATATTTCTAAAATCCTTAAAGTCGAAACCCCCTCTCTCTCTCTGTTTTTTATTTCTTTTTTATTTTGTATTTTTTGTGTTGCTTGTTTATTATGTGGCTTTCTTATTGGGTATGAGGTTGATAAGAGTGGTGTTTTGTTGGTTTTTGGTTATCTCTTTGTTGTTGGTTGTTGTTAGAGGGGTCTCAGGTTGATTTTGGCTTTTTATGGTGACTTGACTTGAAGTGGTGGTCGAGTCTGGTTATGGTGGCTTCTTTTTTTTTTTTTTTCAACAGAGTAGAGCGTGTTCTTTTTTTTCTTGGGTTTCAGTTAGATCTTTTTTCGTGTTTTAAGTTTTAATTTATAAAACCAATTAGGGTTCAAAACCCAGTTTTTCTTGGATTGAAGAGGAGTTCTGGGCATGGCACATTCACCTTTTCATCTTGAAATTTATGTTGCAAAGTTAGGCAATGGATGTGTAGCCCTCTGTCAGGTTGAAATATTTTTGCTTTTGTTTAATTTCTTAATTATTTTAATTTCTTTAAAATATAATCAGGCCTCAAAATGTATTTTGAATTACATTATTGGGCTTTGGACTCTCAAGCCCAACCTTAAATTAGATTGGATCTAGACCCATGAAAAATCAATCTGTTATAGTTCAATTGAACCCAATATACCATTAACAAGTTAAAGAAATTAGAATATTTATATGGATCCAAACTCGGGCACGTGAAACTTGAGACTCATTTTAATTTTCTTTTTTTTTTTTTGGATAAAATTAAGTTTCTATAACTTTTTTTTTTTTGCTCATTTTTTAAAATAAAAAATATGACAAAAGATATAAACAATGGTTTTGTCCAATCTAGCAGCTCAAAACCTTCCTTTTTCATTTGTTCTTTTATTTTTTTTTTTGTATGTTTTGAAAAAAAATGTCATTTAAAGAAAACAAAAATTTAAAGATTCACGTATGTAGAAAATAAAAGATCATAGATTCACATCTAAGGTTAAAAAATTTACATTTGAAAAGTTTTAAAGATTTATACATAAAATTCAAATATTCACATTTAAAAATTATAAAGATTAACATATAAAAATTAAAAAATTTTATTTAAAAAATTTTTTAAATTCACATCTAAAAATTAAATATTTGCATATTAAAATTTTTAGAGCGAAAATTTTAGAAATTAACATCTAATGCTCAAAGGTTCGCATTTGAAAAAATTCAAAAATTCACATCTCAAATTTTGAAGTTTGCAAAAAAGTTTAAAAACTCACAAAAAGGATCAAAGATTCACAAAATAAATTAAAAAATTCACAAAAACATTTCAAAAATTCACAAAACTAATAAATAATTCACAAAAGAGTTCAAAATTTTACAAAAGAATTTAAAGATTCACAAAAGAAATAAAAAATTTACATTTGAAAAATTCAAATACTCACATCTAAGTTTCAATGATTTGTATTTGAAAAAAATTTAAAAATTCATATCTTAAAGTCAAAGATTCTTATTTAAAAAATTATAAAATTCAAAGATTTTTATTTGAATAAATGTTAAAACTTAGTGATTCACATTAAAAATTTAGGTTTGCAACTCAAATGCAAAAATTTTTATATGAAAATGTTAAAATTCAAATATTTACATATGAATTAAAATTTAAAAATTTTCATATGATAAGTTAAAATTTAAATATTCTCATTTAAAAAATACTAAAATTCAAAGCTTTTGATTTGAATAAATGCTAAAATTTAAAAATTTACATATGAAATTCAAATATTTTCATTTGTTATGAATTTGCATCTAAGATTTAAATATTTGCATTTGAAAAATTTAAAGATTCATATCTAAAATTTAAAATTTTACATTAAAGAATATAAAGATGTATGTCTAAATTTCAAATATTGGTATTTTAAAAATCTTAAAAATTCTTATTTAAAATTTAAAAATTTAATTATTCACATATAAAAAGTTAAAAATTAATGTTGATTTACATTTAAAAAGTTAGAAATTCACATCTGAAAATTAAATTTTCTCGATGCTCATCTTGTAAAGATTTCTCCAATCAAAAGCTTAATTAATATCTTAGAAAACTCAATTTTTTTATAATTGCTAAACTAATCGCATAATTTTACTTATATATTTAATAGATTTATTAAAGAAAAACTATCAAACACATTCTATTAAAATTTTTTAACTTTAAAAACAAAATTAAAATAATAAAATATATTTTTTAATTATATTTAAAAAATAAAAAATTAATTAAAAAATAAAACATATTAAGATGATAATTTCACATGTGAAGTTAAAAAAACTTCGCTATGAATATCAAATAATTTTTTTTATTAAATGGTTGTATGTTACACGAGAGTTAGGTCAAGATGAGCCGGCTGTTGTTTGCTTTCTATGTTTCCAAATTCCAATTAATAAGCCAGCTGTCTGCTGCCATTTTTTATGGCGTCAATCACACTGCATCGGACGTTCCGCCCGGAGCCTAGAGCTTTCTCCCATTTTCTCTATTTATAAATTATTGACTAAAACTAATTTTAATTGAGTTTGTACAGCCATATTTTATTCCCTTTTGGTGTTGTCTTGTCCACATTTTCTTCTCACAATTTTAAAAAGCAAGTCAGCTAAAGTTGTGTCGTGTGAGTTCTTATTCTTTTTATCTTTTTCTTTTGTTTCAAGTCCAATCCGATACCCTCGTGTCCTGTGGGTTACCTAAACTGCACAAAAGAATTGCATAATAGCAAACAAATATTGATTAAAGAAAAAAAAAAAAAAAAAGGGCAGAAACAAATATACCTTGCACCGGAGGAAACGCAAAAGCAATTGGGTAAACAACGTAAAGCAGATGTAGTGACTCAGTAATGGTAACGGTGAACAGCACCGTCAACTATGGGAAAAGACCAAACGCTGCAAAATAGAGAAATGAAATCCACTGTCAAACTCACACAGAGCGATCAGTCTTTGCAAAGTTTGAATTATATTCCAAATTATAGTCCATGTTTTTTGAATCAAATCGGATCCCAATCCAAAGTTTTAAATCACTGAATAAATTTTAATTAAAGAATGAAAATACTGCTTCCATAGCAAAGCAAAGCAAATCACTGAATCTGAATGACTATGTACAAAAGGAATCGAATCCTCTTCCATATCCAAAAAAACCTTTTCTACACTTTCTAAGCCTCCGATAAAAAACTCGCCGCTGCCGACAGACACAATTAACTGCAACAAGACTTGACTCAGAAGCCAACCTGTAAATACAAATCCAATCCATGAATAAAAATATCCCTCAGCTTTGGGACATAACTGAGAGCCGACTCGGACTCGGTTGGAAAGCCGCTCTCCTCCTTTGCTGATGAGAAGAAGGCCGAATCAGTGCCGTCAACGCTCTCTTAACCCAGTCTCCTTCAACACCTCCGATCCGAACAAGCGAGTTGGTCATCGCCGATCTCCGCATATTCAGTCGATTCGAGGGATACGACGATGCCGTGCAATTAGCATGACTATTGTGACTATGTTTATGCAAACTGCAGCGAAAAGAGCCCGGATGCGTGGTTGGCGAGCACATACAAGTCCTCTTGGGGATGGAGAGAGGGTTGTTGTGTTCCGGTACGGAGATGAAGCGGTTAGGAGAGATGGACCTGCTAATAGAGAAGCGAAAGGATTGGTTTAGAGGAGTGGAAGTGTAGAGGTTAACGCGAGTGGGAGAGGCGGATCGGTGGTGGTGTTGGTGGCGATCAAAGAAAGTTGAGGATGGTGAATAGAAGCTCGAGCTTGTCGAAGAAGCAAAAGATGACGAAGAAGAAGAAGACGACGACGATAAGACCATGTTTGTTTGTGAGTTATGGAATCTCCCCGCTGGGGATAGCGAGCGTATGACTGGTCCGTTTGACCTTGTTCTTGAAGATGAAGTAGCCATTCAATTGGAAGAGAAAGAAAGACTGAATTAATTTATTTTTTTATTCTTAGTAGCCCCGCTAGGCTAATTGGTTCGGCAAACCCGGCTACTCTGAGAGGCCAGATTTATAGATTTGAGAGACGATGGTCAGGATGGTAATTATTGGAAAGTTGAGGGACTTAAGTTAACCATCGTTGACCAGAGTTGGTTTGACTTGGGGAGGGTCGGTCGGATGCGGCGGTTTTGTTGGTTTATGCTATATATATATATATATATATATATATATATATATATATATATAGGAGTAGTTTTTATAGTTGTTTGTTGGGATGTGGACTGCAGCAAAAGCGACGAATATTAAACGAACCTTGAGACTGACCGTTAATTTGGACTATCAATAAGCTTTTTGTTGGCTTGGCTGGTTCTAAACTGCTACGTGTAAAGCTTCTGGATCCGTCTTATGTAAATGCCACCGCTTACGTCAGATATTACGCTTTTGCCATTTCCATTGCCAACAGCAATCCCAATATGGCGCAGCTGGGCCCGGGGGCGGGGAATGCTCACCGCTCTCGTCCCTCCTGGACAGCCAAGCTTAAAGGCTCAGTGGGCACTTCACTGGACTCTTGATCATATTATCTATTATTAATTTTTTAGTTTTTAGTTTTTAATTTTTAATTTTGTATTTATATTTAAATTAGTTTATTCTTATATTTTTTTATTTCGTATGTTTAATATTACTTTTTAAAATACTATGTATAATTGTTATAAGTATTATTTCTTTAAACATTAAATCTTTTAAAGTATTTTATAATTTTTAATATTTAAAATCTTCATTATTATTTTAAAATAAATTAATGTGTCAATATTTTTATTAAATAAAATTATCAACATTTTAAATATTAAATAATATTAAAATATAAATAAAAATAATTTCTTAATACAGTTTAGATTAAATAAATATTATTTATTTTTACATATACGAGTAAATGTAATATTATCTTTTAAGAAATAATTATAAATTTAATATAAAAATTATCATATAAATAAATACAAAAAATAATTAATTGATTACTTTGTTAAGTTTTAATGTGTAAATTTATTATTAACAACTTTTTACCAAAAATTATTATTTCTCATAAAAATAATTTTAATAATTTTAAATTATTTATTAACTTCATAAATAATAAATAATTTAAAATTTTTATTATACACAAACTTTAATTAAATGTCATTAATGATCAATTTCTCTTTTAATTATAATTCAATTCACTGACACTGTTTTATTTAAATCCAAACATTTATCTCAATTTTAATTTTAATTTCACAAATGTAATATCTAATTTTATTGTTATAATAATTAATTTTTTCATCACTATTATTTTTAATCTCATTAAAATCATTTTTATTTCTCATCCAAATGAAGTGGTCATCTAAATGAACCCTAAAGGTCAATTTGGATGCCCAATAAACAATATCAGTGAAGAGCAATTATCCCGTTTACACGGAAATGTTTGGTGTTTGGCATTTCAAAGTTCAACCACACCAGCGACCGAAGGCTTAGTTGCCAGTAGAACATTGTGGATCTAGTTAGCCTAATTGCACCAAAATGAAATTTTAAAAGTTAGGGTTGCCTTCATACGTTTTTGTTAAGTCTTAAAATACTCAAAGTGAATGTTAAAAAAAGTATAATATATATTTATGAATTTTTTTGAGAAATATATAGTAATAATTAGTTAACAATAGTATATTAAATAATTAGTTCACATATAGTATAATTGTTATAAGTATTATTTTTTAAATATTAAATATTTCTAATCATCTTTACAATTTTTAATTCTTAAAATATTAATTATTATTTAAATATAATTTAGTATGTGTCAATATTTTGATTGAATAATTTTTTAAAAAATTTTAAATGTTAAATAACATTAAAAATATATATATAATTTATCATTACATTTTTAAAATAATGCGTTTAATGATATTTTTGGGAGTTTTTGAAACATTTCAAGAAGCATGAAAACATTCAAGTTTGAATTGATGTGTATTTGAGTTTTAATTCTGGTTTGAAATTTATTATGGTGGATGTGAGATGCATGATATCCAGGCCAATAAGAATGATCTCTCTGAAGCAAGGAAAATGTTGAATGTACAAGACTATCATCAGAAAATCTTACGGATGCTTTTATCTATAAGACAAGGAGATCAACTAGAAGATGATAAGAAAATGGGTAATTTTGAAAACAATTTTGGGGCAAGAAAATGGCAAGGAATGGGAGATTTGATAACAGATAATGGAAGAGAGTGCATCCGCTTCTGCATGACCATATTAGTGCACCAGTTAATGAAATTTTGGCATGATGAGAGAGAAAAAGGGGGTTGGCCTATTTTCTCAAATACTCTCTCCACATATAATGATATCATGCATGCATCAACAGTGGCACATTAACATTTGATTTTAAGGGAGCCTATTAATATTATACTAAAATTTAATTTTTTTTCTTTTACATATCCTATTATTTATTATTCATATAAATATATATACAAGAAAATATTCCAAAAATAACTTACAAAATTATAAATTTTATCAATTTATAAACAAATTTACAATGAAACAAAATATATCAAATAAACAATTTTATTTAAAATTGTGAATGATTTAAAAAAAAAAAAAACAAATAAACCAATTGCTAAATAACATATTTTTCATCAAAACAAGAAAAATAAAATATACCATTAAAAAAATAAAATTAAAACTTTGAGATTAGAAGTTAATAATTTTTTAACCTTTTAAAAAGTTATTCAAATCTAACTTTTGTGATGAAATAAAATTGCATTATAGCAGGAGAAAAAGATCTAAAATAAATTAAAGGTAAAAATTATATGGAAAGAAACTATGGTTGATTAAAAAGGAAAGAAAAAATATATTTGATATTTGATTGTAGATTGGGAGTCTTATGAAGAAACTAGAAAGCCAATTTGACTTTAGTTTAATGGACATGATTATGATTGTAGGTGATATACCCTTTCTAATTCTTCTAACAAGTCTCTTGATTTTAAAGTTTGTAAGTAATACTTGGTTGGTATAATAAATAAACAAATAACAATATGATTTTAATTCATCTTAAACAATAATGCATAAGACAGCTAGACATCCATGACCGTAAACATTAAAGTAAAGCAATGGTAATAAAATTTTTGGTGTGACTCTCAGCAGATCAATGGATTTTAGCTACCAAAAACACATCTTTATAATACCTTTTTATCAGTCTTCTACGCATATGGCATTCGGATTTTAGAGTGTTATTAACTGATTTAATTGAGTCATCTGGATATAATGCATTCACACAAAAAACAGAGCTTATAGATTATTTAATTCCCTTAACAAACATAAAGGTTCTTAAAATTTGGGGAGGGGGGGGGGGGGAAGGCCCCATTTAACTTGTATAACCATTCTCTTTTACCTCCCGTTACCGGGGGTTGTTAAAACTTTAGGGGGGCTTATGACATGTATAATCATCTGCCCCTGTGCATCAAGATTAAAAAGAACTCAGATGTTCATAATGCACTTTTGATCTGAAAAAATGAAAAAAAAAAAAAAAAGGTTTTTGAATGAAGATCAGTTGATGACTTAAAAGGCTTTTGATGTTGAAGGAGAGAACACATTGCTTTGATCATATATTTACGTAATTACTAAGCATTTGCATTTGTTTAAATCATGCATTTGCATAATTTAGTAAGCATTTGCATCTTTTTAAATCATGCATTTGCATTTGTTTAAATCATTGCATTTGCACAATGTTGGAGGATTATTGTTTGGGTTATTGTATTTATATCATTTTTAGGGAGCATTTGCATTTTCAATAGATATCTACAAATGTTTACATTATTTATTACATTTGTCAATTGAGATTCGTGAATGTTGAAAAATAATAATAATAAAAATAGTGGATCATTGAGTTTGCACATTTGTAATGAATGTTTGAATAAGACATCTGCATTTTATCTTGGTGAAGAACATTTGCATTTGAGTCGTTGAGATATATCTTTGCATCTACATTAGTAGGATAAATGTTAGCATCTGCACCCTAAATAGGGGACATTTTTATTCATATAATTATTGGAACATTTACATTTTTGCAAACTCTGAATTAAAAAAAAAAAAAGCAAAAAGAAATATAATTTTTTAAATTGGGGAATAGAAAAGCATTGAAAAAGAAAGGAAAATTTTAAATGGAAGGATGAAGAAAGGAAATTTATATTTTTAAATGGAAACAAGAAAAACAAGATATTTCTTTAGAAAAAGGAAAAGATGTTGAGAAAAATTTTCAAAATGAAAAAAAAAAAATTTTTAAGTATGAGACTTTTTTAGAAATTTCTTTTCAAGACAAGATTTTTAAAGGCATATGAGCCTTGATTGAAGGTAAATTGGGAAAAGAGTTTTTGGGAATCTTTTTACCACGATTAGATACATTGCATTGAATTTTATTAACATTTAAATTGCATGCATAACATTCATGACATTTATTGTATACATTCAACAAACAAAAAATAGTAATTTAAACTTTGGGTTTTGAAATTGAACTTACTAAAAGGCTTAGAGATTTTTCCATGAGAAATATATTTTTGGGCTTGTCGGTCCTTTAAATGAAGAAATTTTTTTGAAAAATGAATAAAAACTAAAAAATAAAATTTTAATCCTTGATTTAGAAAAAATTTCAAAGATTAGATTTTAATATCTCCGTTGGAGAAATTTTTCAATGATAAGATTTTGATCCTATTCAAAAAAAATTTACCAAAATGAGATTTTGGTTCTCAATCAAAGAAAAATTTTTAAAATGAAAATTTAATCCTTGGTCTAGGAAATCATTTTTCAAAGTTTAGATTTCAAATTTTGGTTGAAAAAAAATTTTAAGTTGAGATTTTAATTGTCAATTAAGAAAAAAAATTGAAGGTTAAGATTTTAATCTTCGATTGAAGATAAACTTTCAAAGATGAGATTTTAATCCTTGGTTGAGAAAAATCTATCAAAGAAGGGATTTTAGCCCTTTAGGAAGAAACTTTTATAAGATAAAATGTTAAACCTCTTGTAGGGAAAAATTTTCAAATGTGATTTTAAAATTTTAAAAAAGGAACATTTATTTTTTAAACGAGACTTAAAGTTTCA